CACACACACCCACTCGCTCACGCATGCACAACGCAATCATTTACATTCATATAGACCCTCTCATCATGGGATCATCTCAGTTACAATACACAATCCTCCCGAGCAGTATGAAGGATATGGGAGTTAACTTGTTTATAAGACAAGGGAGTGTCAGCATGTCAGGTGGGGCCTCTCCTCTTCACATCTTGAGCTGTGTGAGATGTTTAATATCTCACATGGAAACCAAACCTATATTACGTTAGACAAGAGAAGTTTTCTCAATGTGTGTGAAAGAGTGTGTTTGCCCCATATGTACACCTGTGTTCGTTCGTGAGCAAGTGAACAACCCATGTGTAGCGAGGTCAGGGTCAGCGCAGTGAGCACATGGACATGTCTCACTAGAGATCGGCTTTGCTGTGCACATTCTGTGGGTCATGTACTCCTATTGATTTTCATGTCAGGCCCTGGCAGTTGCTCCTATAGAGACATATTCCCTGCTGATTGATCATAGTGACTGCAGATGTTTGATAAGCAGCTTTCAAAAATGCTGGACTGGTTTAAATCAAGATAAACTTTTGACCAGGTGCACCGCATCAAGAGAGCGCATTTGGAATGCATTTTTTGCAAATATATTATTGCATGTTTTACTCAAGAACTGTACTGTTGCCACAAATTACATCACATGTCACATTATCTTAATGTTCACATAGTTTTACATTCTCTGCTGTTCATTTTTGGCTTAATAGTGTGCAGTAAAAGAGTGTGTAATATTCAGGAGAGCTGATGTAATCAGCGGTGGTTTCGAATTGCTGGCTCTGCTGCCCATGTCCTGGAGTGCTGGTGTGATCCAACAGGCCCTTAGTGGATCCCACCCACAGCCAGCAAGCCCCAGTGCCTCCACCCTACTTTTCTATAAACTCAGCTCAGACAGTTTTTTTTTTTTTTTTTGCTTATTGTGTTTTTTATGTGATTTCTGCTTTTGAATTCAGCTATGAGGTTACTACATACAGTATCTTTTATGCTGATCTGAGGTAAACCGTAATAAACCACACTGACCACAGTCACAAATTGTGACTGCAAGAGAGGCAATTTCATGTAAGTTTCATGTAATCTTTAATAGGGATACGCTGATATGAAAGTTCTGGCCAATACTGATAAACTGATATTAAAATTCACATATTAATACACAATTTTGTCTAAATTATTCATTTTATATTGCAAGTAAATTTATTTTGAGATATGCTAAATATTAGACTACATTTATTATTACTAAATTATCTGTATGTGTTTTTCTGTGCAACACAAAAGATATTTAAAAATGTGTTTTTTTTTTTTTGTAAATAAATACAATGAAAGTAAATGGGGTCCAATTGTTGTCTGAACCTCAAAATTATTCCTTTTTTGTGTTCTGCAGAAGACATAGTACATTATGAAAGAATTTTCATTTTCAAGCACAGTATCCATTTAAAAGTGATTTGAGAGGTAAACAGGTTATTCTGGCTGTCTGGAATGAAGGGGCTTGACTCGACTTGACTCGAGAGTAATGCACTCTCCTGGACCAGATTAATTATAGGAAATAAAGGTGAAGTGAGGGAGGAGGAGAGATGCCAGAAGCATTGTCATTGGAATGAGGTTTAAGCAGCCGTTTATATATCATTATCATTGTGATTGACAGCATTAAATGATCATGCTCTTGGCACTTTTTTCTTCATAAAGACCATAAAGAAACTCCCTGTTTGTCACGAAAGCTAGAATCTGTAGGGCTGGTAGAAGGAGAGATTATTTACACGTGCACATTCTCACTCACTGTAAATGTGTAAAACATTTGCTCCCTTCAGATAAATATGACTGTAGCAGATAAGCCATGTACAATATATCATCAACACAGTCAGTACAGTGAGATAATCAGAGAACAAGTGTTTATAATGAACTAGAATACACCAGACTGTTTTTTTTTCCGTTTGTTTTTCTATGTGAAAGTGCTAAATATCTACTGCATTTCTGATAAATGCAGCCTTGGTGACCATGAGAGACTACTTAAAAAAAAAAAAAAAATCTTACCAACCCCATATTTTTGATTACTTCTGTCTATAATTAATTTGAATGAATTCTATAATTGTGCATGTTCTGTAATTTTATATTAAATTAACATTATAGTCTAAACAAATGTCTAGGCTCATGTACAACCTGAGTGAAACCAGGCCTTATGAAACAGGGCCAAATGACATCCATTCTTCTGTATCTCTGTACAAGACACCACCTCTCCACCAGTGTGCCAGAATGTCTCATAGAAATAAACAGAGACTCACGATCAACAAAACACACTCTTGAGGTAATGGAGTCCCGTTCTGGCGTGCACAACACAAGTCTTTCAGAGCTTCACTCAGCCTGCCTGCGCTGCAGGACCGTAGCTTGTCTATGTCTGTTAAGTTGACAGAAATGTCATGACACAATGCATTATGCTTCTGGACCCGCAGTCTCTGAGACGAGCATGACAGCTCACAAATACGATTTAGAGCTACAAGCCTGGATACATGTAATTATGTTGTGCTGTGTTTGGATAAGCAGAACAGCATTGTTATGCACACAACAAACACAGATAAAGCCCCAGCTTCAACCATGTAAATTTTCAATCAAGCAGCTCGTACGCTTCGGATGGTTAATCCAAATGTTTTCATTTCAGTTTGACTGATTAAAAAGTAAACAAATAAACCGTTCGGTTTTAATCTCTTAAAGTTGTTCATCGACAGTGAATAGATTGTGATGCATTTGCAGTCGATCCACTCAACATAGTTTCAACCCAACACAAATCATCCCCCAAACCTCTCATTGTTGTAGGTTTTGTAAACACATTTCCACCATGAAGGTTTTTCAGTATTGAAAATATGATTTTTTTTATTGATCACAAAATTAGCATATTAGAATGATTTCTGAAGGATCATGTGACACTGAAGACTGGAGTTATGGCTGCTGAAATTTCAGCTTTGCCATCACAGAAATAAATTACATTTTAAAATACACTGAATTTTGAACAATAGTGTATATCTTTAAAATTAAATGATTAAATTAATAATAATAATGGTAATAAATAATAAATGAATAATCCCTCTGTCAATCCACTCTGCATTCTGTCACCTTACTCAAATCACCCTGGAAAAACTTCCATTGTTGTATAAGTTTTCTAAACACATTTTCATCATGAAAGTTTGAATATGCCTGGCACTCATAACAAACAATATGCACATGTCGTGAGGATGAGCGTCGAACGAAGAGCTGACTGTTTTTCCTTCCTGCTGGGGGGACATGGTGACTGAGAAAGAACAGTGTTTGACTCAGGGGCCTGGCGTGATGTGGTATAGGGAAATGTCTGATTTTGCCTGCCTGTTGTCAGAGTTGCCTTCTGTGGACAGACAGCGTGATCTCACTCCTAATAGAGACCTGCAGACACCTAAAGACCCGTTTCTGTTCAGCCAGTAATTAAAGTGTTTATTTCCTGTGGGTCACTCACAGCCTCCTGGTCATCAACTTCCACATCTTTTTGCTGGCATTGTGCGGCTACAAAGCGCGTCGCGCTCTTTCGGCCTCTCTGGAGGAGAGAGTTTCTGCCCTCCCTCAGCGTCTCTCAGATGTGAGATGTGGTTACATAGGCATTTTCTATTTACGTGTTCATCTGTGTCCATTCTGGACGGAGATGATGAATGCTTCCTCTGAGAGGTAGCCAGCTCTTTGTGGGCAGGTTAGCAAGGGGAGACAGGGACAGAAGTGGGAGAGGGAGCGACTCGTGGGCTCCCCGGGGGCAAACTGTGCTCTGAACCTTCTTGACTTGGCTTCCACGCTCTTTCTCACTTGTGAATTGCCTCATCTGGCCCAGAGGATTTAAACTAATGTCAGCCCGAGACTGGGTGCACTCTTAATCATCTTAGGAGTGAGAGCTGGCAGCAGCCGGGTTTATGAGAGGGAGAATGAGGCCTGCGTGCTGTCTCCTGAGACGCTGTGCAGAGCCAGGGTGTTTGTGCTTGTGTCCTAGGTTGTGTCAGAGAGAGAGATGCAGACAGAGAGATACATGGGAAGGAGGGAAACGAGTAAAGAAAACAGGACGAGATGACCGAAGAGACATTATGCACTGTGTGCATTCTGAAACCAGACAGATGACTTTATGACCCGCTTATTGGTGTCATATTGGCTTATCTGCTAAGGCTTGCTTCTCTTTAAGCCTGAAGTCAGCAGGAAGCATCCACATGCTTTTCGTCTCTGCTTATTAATCTGCTTACTTTCATTCAGTTAACTGTCTGTCACATAGCCATCAGTCAGCCATGGGACGCCATTATGATGCTTATTAAAGATTGTTTTAGGGAGTCTACACTTGAGAGAAAGTTCTGTTGGAGCGTTGACAGATAGGAATGAGTAGATGTTTTTGCAGGGTACGTAAAGAGAAGTGTTTGAGTATTGAAGTCCTGGCCAGTACCAAGAAGCAGATAATTATTTTCTTGTTATGGCTGATAACAGACAGAATTACATTATATTAAATAATAAAATTCTTTAATATTTTGTCTAAATAAAAACAAAACTAAAAGTGAATTTAGGCATCACAACATTATTAAGATTACATTGCATTCACTGTAATATATAGTATAATTTTACAATTTGAACTATTAGGATTGTTAAAGATTAAGTCAGTTTTAGAAATCAACAGTGGTAATCTAAATATAAAAATAGGGGGAATTAGCATCACAATTACCAATCTACTATCCAGTGTTTTAGTTTTTGAGACTAATAATAAATGTGAGTGGGCCGATCTCCAGCTGTTGCAGAGAAGCAGGTGTGAAGATAAGAAATCATTGTGGGTCTCAGTCTTATATCCTTCCTGCATGTATTAGGCAGTGGAACACTATGCATTTAGTCACTTTCATCTGCATCATACCTCCTCTTTTGAGTTTTGCATGTTTAAAATGTGTTTTCTCTCTTTCTGTCTCTGTGTGTGTCTCTGTCTCTTTCTTTTTCTCTTTCCTTCTCTCATTCAGTTTCACAGATCGTGGTGTGGACACCTGAAGAAAAAGACGCAGCAAGAAATAGAGTGAGAGAGAAAGTCTCGAGAAGAAAGAGTGGAGTAAAATGTGCTAGGGGAGTGAAGGCAGACAAACTCTCGTGTTTTTCTGATATTCTCGGAGTGTCAGAGAGACCAAGCAGGACGCCAAGATGGGACGGAAGAAGATACAGATCACACGGATCATGGATGAGAGGAACCGGCAGGTCAGTAGCTCCTTTACACATCATCCCTCTTTTAATTTCCACACTACTCTTGTGTCTCGGAACCTAGTGAGATGCTAGCTCAAAAGCATTTTTGGACATCATAGGTATATTTGGAATAAGGGATGCACAATATATCACTACCATATTGGTGATTGATCGATATTACAGAAATATTTTTTTCTATCTTCTATTTTTACATTTAGATTACTTTTGGTGTCATCTAACACTCACTTTCTTAGAAAAGTCAATTCAAAGTTCAACAGATAAGATTAATTCTTTAAGAATATTAATAATTTTACAACACTTAATTATAATTTTAATGTAAATGTAAAATATAAAATTTTGATTCATAAATTCACTTGGAGCTTTTAAAATCTGTGTTTTTAAGTGTTTGATTTATTTAGATAAAATTTTAGATACAATTTTTATTTAGATACAATTTTAAAAATTTAAATAAGATTTTACCATTGGCCATAAACAACATAATCAGCCATACCAGCCTGAATTTTAATATTGGTGCATCCTTTATTTGGAACATTTGAAACCCAGCCCAAGACAGAGCCATAATTCAGTCAATTCATCAGAGTGTAAGAAATCTGTCATTTAGATTTTTCATATAGATTTTTTCACTAGTTTTGGATAGTAAATACATAGCTTAAAGTAAAACTGAGGATACTTACACTACCGTTCAAAAGTTTTGGGTCAGTAAGATACCCAGAAAAATGTTAAGCAGCACAACCATTTTCAAAATTTATAACAATAAGAAATGTTTCTTGAGCAGCAAATCAGCATATTAGAATGATTTCTGAAGGATCGCGTGCCAGTGAAGATTGTAATGGCTGCTGAAAATTCAGTTTGCCATTACAGTAATAAATTACATTTTACATTTATTTCACATTGTAATAATATTTCACAATATTACTGTTTTAACTGGATTTTTGTTCAAATAAATAGAGCCTTCTTACAGACCCCAAACTTTTGAATGGTACTGTATGATATTTAAGGAATATTTTGTGTGATAGATTCAATTGAACTTGAATCCCTGTGTGATTTTTTTATTCAGCAAACACAACAAGCCTGAAAGGCCCATTTGATTATTGCTTAGTTTGGGCCATCTGTTCATTGGCTAAACATGTTGTCCCAACATTCCTGGATAGACACACAGCAAAAGCCATAAAAAGGGATTGGGACACATTTCCAGCCATATTTACAGACGTGGCTCCCACACACCACCCTGCAATTTCGGTCCGGACAAGCTGATGAGGCAGACAGAGCTGGTACGAGCCAGTCAGTGTGGCAGCGGCATGGAGCAAGGGGTGACTGGGGTGAAGTGGGGCGACTATGGCCTTTCCCTTTTTCCCCTCTCTATCTCTCTCTCTCTCTCTCTCTCTCCACACTGGTGGGTTTGTGCTGGGGCCTGGCAGGGTCCATTGCTCCCTGTGGTTGCAGCTGCTTGGTAGTAATTAGGAGCAGCCACTGCACCACGGCACCCTCTCATTACAAGGAGGGACAGTGGGACGCGCTGTTCCCTTCTCTCTCTCCATCTTCCTGTTTCTGCTTCTGTCTCTCTCTCTATTTTCCTGTCCTTTCCCCAGAAAAGTGCCAATGATCTGGCAAGCGACAGAGACAGACTGGAATTCACCCTTGTCTACTCACACTAAATATAAATAACATAACACAGTCCTGTCTGGTCGCTTTGTCTGACACAGTCGTTACAGAGAAGGGAAAACACACATACAAAACAGATGTGAGGCACATATAGTTCCACTCAAACATACATGGCATGTCTAATGTCCATTTGAAAGGGGAAGTCACTCCATTTGTCATGTTTAAGGATTTGATCATGAAAAAAGTATGCGTCAGTCCACATCTCTCCAGCTAGACTTGCACCCATTCACACCCGCTCAAAATATCATTTGCACTGTCTCGTCGGTGAAATAACTTTCTTGCCATGCTCACGGAAAGCTAATTGAGGTTTTGCTCACTCTCCTGAGGGTGATAACATAACAGCCCGTGCCCTCCTCCCTCCTTGCCCCCAGCTCTCCTCCCACCTCTCTGACAGTTACTGTGGAGGTAGCAGTTCAGCCAAGTGAGAAACTCGAATTTACAGGACAGGCCAATTATCAGCATAACACCAGGTCCTGGGTGGGATCCAAATAGGAAGGCAGGCAAAGAAAAGATGTCTACTAGAAACATCAGCATCTGCACTATCTGCCCCAGCTTACAACATCAGCAAAAATAAAAGAAAAAATAAAAAGCAAGAGAGGGGAGAAAGATTCAAGAAAAAGAAGAGAAAGTTAATGTAAAATCACTTTGTGACTGGCTGTTTATTTGATTCAGTGTATCCAATCTTAATGGGATTGTTCACCCAAATTTAGTTTGTATGTTGTTTTTCCAGCGATGCCGCAGAAATAGAAACCATTTTTAAAAATAGAATCCGCTGTTGCTCGTCACGTACCGCCATCGTGGCTAGTTATATCAAAAACTCTGTTTAGCATGGACAAGATAAATTTTATTGGATTTTGCGACATTGAATCACATCTGTTTAGAACACAGTGTTAGAATATATTTTGTGTTCCACGGAAGAAAAAAAAGTTATACATGTTTGGAATGACACGAGGGGGAGTAAATCATTTTTGGGTGACCCCTTTAAGAATTCAGTTTCTCGCTGTGGCTCACAACTTTAAACATATCACAATACCACCTTTTCTTTTATTGCCATGCACACATAAGCACAAGAGACAATACACTGCACGTTAATTAATAACGCTCTTGTCTGTCAGAATCCGAATTTCACAGCACTCATTGGAGAGAGCGGTTATCAGTGGCTTACAGGCTCGGCCGTGAGTGTGGTCGACTTGCTCAGCAGAGAGTTTTTGGAGTCAAACGGAGAAAGAAAAGCCCTTTATTAGAGCTTTTGCGTGCATTCGCACAAAGTTCTTCACCCTCACTAGCGTAAACCTAGTCGCTCTAGGGTGCTCTCCTCACCCTGGGGAGATGGCCATTAGCATACTGGGCCCGCTGAAAGAAGACAATTAAAATGCTTATCTGTGCGGCTGTGCCGGGAGCTATCTTTATTCATTGCATTAGAATGAGAGAATGCCTTAAGTGGCCTAATTAAATACAGTGGCGGTACTGCATGCAGCACAGGCTTCAGCAGGGGTGTCTCGTATCATTATGAGAAGGGCTTTGGAAAGCCTGTTGACCTATCAGGATTTATTTAGGAGAGCGTAGCGGGGGTTGAGAGGTCCGCAATTGCAGTATCTATCAAAACAATGGGTTCAGAGGCAAGCCGCGGGATGTTCATTGTACATGTATCTTGCAATATTATTCACCCCCGAGGGGTTTGGAAGATCTTGGTGAGCATCGGATCTTGCTCTTTGATTTTCCAGAAAATTCACCAGGAAAAAGTCTGAACACACAACAGACGTTGATTCAATCATTGATTGAGTCCCATCAGTGGAAGAAAGAGATATGAATGCATTATTTTATGAGAATGAAGACAGAGCGTCTCGGCTCTTACTTGGCAGCGCGCTCACACTTTATGAAATATAGAGGAGCTGAAGGTCCTGTAATGCATGCAGTCCTGTCCTTCTGGAGCTTTCTACTAAAAGCCCCTTAAGTGCGGCCTGTAGGAGGAGGATGGCATGACAGCGAAAGGAGAAGAAGAAGAGGAGAGGATTTGGTGAGCCGCACTGAACAGCTCAGGCTGACATGCTAATTGCAAAGCTGTGTAAGGGGGACGACTGCCATAATAGCGCAGGAGGACAGAATGATCCTGAACCCCCCTCCCCTCTCGCTCTCCACCTGTCCGTCGTCCACTCAGTACAAGCTCTGATTTCCTCTACGGCTCTTCAAGCCTGTAATTATTTGTCCTGATGATGTCGTACACCTGTCTCATTTGTGAGAGTGTGTGTGATAGTGGTAGTAACATGCTTTTGAATTACTCCCCTAGTAGAAAACTTATAATTACGGTGATGGTCTCAAAGGACCTTAATGAGTGCTGCCTGTCAGTGTGAAAACAGCATCACTCCATTGTAGCTCTGTGTGCTCTTGTGTTGTGACAGCTCTTTGATTCACAGAGGATGGAAAGTATTATTGTGAACACTAGAGTAAAGACTCAAGGGAAGAGTTCTGCAAAAGCACGCACAGGAAAACTCCTTGTTAAGCTGAGAGAGAAAAATTGTCGCACGCGATTTCATTAGGTACCTTTTGGCTTTGTTTCCATACAGTTGACATGCTCTTTCACAGCTGCGTTTGTGTGCCAGTGTGTGCGTTTGGACCTCTGTGCCTAACGACGTCCGCTGTACGCCATTAAGCAGGCTCACTAGGGGTAATTACCCAAGTCATTAAAAGTTTGATGATTTCACTGCTGGGTGGAGTGTCGCCCGCCCTTACTTTGGCTTACTTTTGCTTCCACATGTCACATGTTCAGGAGTGCCGAGCCTTACGCTCTCCATTTTTCATCCCTCTTATTTCTTTCTTTTTTTTTTTTAGCAGGAAAAAAAGTTATGCACATCCTTCCATTTCATCAGACTCCTCTTCTTCTGTGTCTCCTAAAAGGTTCTGAGAGGACACCATTATTCTTTAATGATGAAAAAATGGTTTAGAAACTAGAGAGTGAAAAAAAGGTTTCAGTTAAAAAAAAGATGGTGTTCAATCCGTGTATCATTCTTTCATTTGAAGTTTGATTTAATATTGAAAATAAAAAATGAGAAAACGGTGCCTTTTTAGTTTTTCTTTTTTTTTTCAAAATAATCGAAAAACAAAGATTCGGCTTGATTTTTTTGCATTCAGAGGTAGAAAATGTATAAACAGCTTGAATATTTGATCTCCACATATGGGCCGGAATAAAACCCCCCATTCTGCTGATTTGTCAGTATTGTTCAGTATCATACGATTTTACACAAAAATGTAATTTATTATTAAGCAAAAATCTTGGCCGTGACATTGCAGTCCTGTGTACATTTATGCAAGTGCACAAGCGTGTCGTTTTGAGG